GTACAGATCGAATTCCAACGTCATTTGCTTCACTAGAGGACCGAGGTCAGTCTGTGGTCCTTCATGCCTACTTGAATCCCAGATTCCATGAAAAGCATTCGGCGAACAAGTGTTTGGCACGTGGCCTAACAGAACGCTTAACATCTGTTGCGATGGGTTATTCTGCGACCATTATTTGCTGATTCAACACCCAGCTTTCTGATTTGGTGGAAGTTTCAGCAACCCAAATGTGCGATTCAGCAACAAACATGTCCGATTCAGCAACAAACATGCCCGATTCAGACCAAAAGGTGTAGGATGCAGCAACCAAACAACAAAGTATTAAAATCCACTTGCCCCTGGGAACAAAAGGATCATACCACAATTGGAGTTATAAGAGATTAAATCTCCCACCCCCATGGAACAAAATACCATACCGCTATCGGTGTTTACCATACCTCTGCCGTTTTGATTGCAGCCCGGTATGCTTTGGTTGATCATACTTTTTGGTTGACGCATTTCTTTTTTGACTCGCCCCCACTGTGTCGCAATGGACAAAATCATCGGAAAGATGGTCTGCTAACTCCCTTTGGAGCCCTGTGCGAAATGCATTGGTCTTCCCCCTGAAGCCCATCCAACTTTGGAAGCCCCTGCAAAGCTTGGGTTGCGAAATTGCGGAGAGGGTTTAGATATGCTTAGATATGTTGAGATGCAAAATCTAAACATCCAACACAATCAACAGGATGCAACAGGATGCAGTACGACATGTGGGGCAGATTTCGTTGACTTGCTGGGCTTCAGCATCAGCACTTGGACACACTCAGCTCACTAAGGCAGGTCCAAATATCAGGCTGGGAGATCTGGGAGGATTCTGGGGACGGAAGACTGAAAGTAGACTGAAAGTAGACTGAAAGTAGACTGAAAGTAGACTGAAAGTAGACTGAAACATAAAGAATCAGATGATATCAGATGTCTGGGCACAGATTTCCAAGCTTTGAATTGAAGTGCTACGAGATCTTACAAGCAGAAAAAGGTGCTGGTACCGTATGGTACTCGTCACGCAGCATGCCATTCTTTGGCACCATTCCTGTTCTGTATGCAAACTAACACAAGTACACTTCTACAGATTTCTCCGCAATTATGAGCAAATAATTGCAAGCTTTGCAAAGCCAGACCGTTAGCCAACTTGTTACATCCTGCCTCACAGGTTGGCCAGGCTCGTGCCTTTCCTGCAAGGCTGGGGAAAAACACTCGAAGTCGAGATGTGCAGCTTGTAGAAACGTTCACTGGATTCCTTGGCTTCATTGTGTTTCATTGTTGTTTCAGTTTTGTTTCATTCCTGAAAGCTAGCTTGTGCTAGCTGAAGTTGCTCTTGCTTTGGCAAGGAATAGGCAGGCACCAGGACCGTTGAATTCCTAGAAACTTTCATGTTATACCCCCTCCCCCCACCTGGCAGGCCCGAGTTCAATACCCCCTGGGCCGTGGTTTGGGAGTGGAGTCTTCGGTACAAGAGTAGTACCGTCCTGCTATCTTTCGTGCCTACCCCTGGCCTCAAGTATTCATTCTTATATGGCCAAACTTTACAAAGTGAGCCCATTACACGTAGGTCTCAAACTGCCAAACCACTTCAAATGTATTTGACTATGAAAACATCTGAACATATCTGAACATCTATAACTCTGAATGAAATGAAGCGTGACGAGGCTGGCAGATGGTTTTGAGCGCCTTCAGGACGCCAGCCGGACCACACTTCGCAGTTGCCGATGTCGTAAAGTGTCGTAAGTAAAAAAAGGAGCAGAACATAGCAGAACTGTGTGCTGCATTTGCATCTGCATTTTGAGTATAGCACCTTTACAGTTACTCCGAGACATCTTCATGACCAGGATCCATCTGTACTTTTCCAAGAGGCAGGGACCTGCATCTCCCTGCCATAGTTATACTAGTTATACACAGCCGTGCAGTGAATCAAAAGTAAGCTGACAGACTGCAGCTCGCCAACCCTGAATACTTCAGTCTGTGCGTATTCATGCCACGGATGGAAAGAAGTGGGATGATTTGTGCGAGCCATATGCAACAGGTGAGAATATAATTTTTCTTTGAGATTACTCACCCCCGAGTCACCAAGCTTTTCTTGCAGATTCTTGCATGTTGTTACTGTTGTTTGCCAGATTGAGAGCGATTCATCCACTCTCAAGCTCGAAGCACAAGTCTCAGCGAAATCGACCACAGAAGCCACGATTCCGATCGTAGAATTCCATGAACTCATTATGGACTCATTCTGGACTCGGGGCACTACAAGAGCACAAGATGTACAAGACACTCCATGTGGCCCAAGTAGTTTGGTTCTTGGTTTAACCATGGACTGACCATGGGCTGACCATGCTGCGGGATGCAGGCCATGCTACCAGAGACGGGCGATTTGGAGTCCATCAGCCAGCTGTTGATGGAGAGTGCCCTGTCCAAGCTGTTGTTTAGCAGTGCTTCTGCAGAAGTTTGAAGTCCGTGTTACCGTGAAAACTGTGAAAACAGACATTTTAATATATTTTGATATAGTTTAATATATTTTAACTGTTTCGCAAAGCCTTCTGAGAAGAATAGACGATAATAGACGTGCGTGTGTGCGTGTATGTCATCTTGGGAAGAGATTAGGCTTCATCGAAGTCTTGGAGCCGTGGATGCTCCCTGCATCCCTTGGCCCTGTCGCAAGTGTGCTGAACTCAGAACGGCGGATGCCTTCGGTTTCTTCACTCAGACGTTGTCGGAGAGTCTCGGAGATGTGACGGAGGAAGACTGCATTTGCTAATTTGCCTTGCCGTTTTGCTAAACAGCACATCAATCTGTGGAAGCCTATGCTGCAAGTAAGCTGGAAAAAATGAACAGTTTCTCTACCAGATTTTACAAAGACACGTTTGCGGATTCGACCTCTGATTCCATTTTCAATGTTCTTTCTCTAGGGCTCTAATCATCGTGTTTGGGACATGTGGGAAATGCTGGAACGTCAACATGAACTATAACATGGACTATGTCGACTATCTCGACTATATCGACAATGTCTAAGGCCTGGAACTGGTTGATCATGGAATGGGAACGCCAGGCACTGACTTGGTGTAGCTGCAGGAGCTTGGTCTGCTATTCTTCTGCGTTGGCATTGAAGCAGCAAACGCAAACTCATCAAGCGGCAAATTGTGATTTTACATCTCCTTACAATATTCATAGCAACCTTGCAAAATTTATATATATACAAGCTTAAAGACGTACAAAACAGCATGTTTTTTAATATCACACAATCTTGAATGTTGCTTTTGTGTGTGAGTTTGCTCTAAGATATCATACTGCAAGGAGTCTAGCCATTCAGCCATTTGGCCCTGCTACTCACCATTCTTGAGGTCCATATTTTCCTTGACTTTCCTTGACAGATATCGAAAGAATGTTCCCTACAGACTCCGACATTGCGCCGACCAGATCATCAAAACCACGCTGACGGTGAATTACAAGAGGATCATGAGCCTTGCCTTCATAGTCCTCTTAGTCCTCTTAGTCTTCTTGTGCCATAGAAGTATTACTAAGTATCCTGATCAGCTTAAAATGAGTAAATCATTTGTAAATGCTGATCAGCACGTAAATGTTCTGGAAAAGAAGGGGCCCGCTGTTCTGACTCATCTGACTCAGCTCTTTGTGATCTCAGATCAAATTTCTCTACAGAATCCACGGCACGGTGCGCCAAGGACCCAGCCATCTCTTCGGAAGCCCAAGGGATGGCAGTTCGAGGTGGGCGCAGCTTCCAAGACTTTTTGAACAAAAAATGACTCAGTGAACCCAGTACCCAGTAGTTCTCAAAGTAGTTCTCAAAGACAGACTTACTGGGACATCTTGGGACGTACTGCCAACCTGGCAATTTTCAGCTAACTTCCCAACCGGCCGTGGCAGGGTGAGTCCTTGGGAATGCTGCTGGTCACTGACGCAGGCATTCAATGCACAAAGCGTGCCGATGACTTTGCAGTTTCTTTGTCTTGTTTCAACTCTGGCCTGCGAGAGAGAGAGAGAGAGAGAGCGAGAGAGAGAGAGAGAGAGAGAGAGACGCAAATGTTGTTTGCAGAATCAGAAGCTACTGATTGTAGTGTTGAAACTTGCTCATGTTCCATGTCTGTAGTTTGATTAGTTTGCGACTTGTGCAAGTTGTGCGACTTGTGCAAGTTGTGCAAGATGTGCAAGATGTGCAAGATGTGGAAGAGTCATATTTCATTCTGCTCCATTAAATTGATCCACGTGATTCACACATTTTGTCGGATTCTCCAAGTTCTCCAAGTTTCTGTCCTGTCCTGGCCTCAGCGTAGGAAATGGCCCTGAAGCAGTGGCATTCCTGGAGTTCAGGGGCTCAGAGATGCTCAGAGATGCTCAGAGGGTTCAAAGATCAAAGTCTTCAGTCTTTGAGAGTCTACTCAGTCTACTCTCCTATTGTATCCTATTGTCCTATGACTCAAAAGGATGGAAGGATGCAGGAACGATGTCATTTTGCAAATGTTTGTGAAATTGTTTCCATGAACTATTTCACGAAAGCAGGAATCAGGGAGTTTACATTTCAGCAGAGCTCGGTCCAAAAGCTCACTTCACAGACCATCGGATCAAAACCAGACCGCCCGCGCATTTTCACTTTTTGCTATTTTTGCTCCTATTTGATCAATTTGTTCAATTTGGTCGCATTTCCGTTTGTGGACATCAGGCTTTGTTCTCTACCGCCTGATGGTCGTACTCCAGATGATACTCTGGGTATGCTGTTTCTTGCCCAAAGAGCTAGCAACCAATGCCAAAACGGTAAAACTGCAGAAGCACTTGGAAGGCAGCTTTAAGATGCTTTGGAAATGCTTTCAGTGTGCTGATGTGATCTTACGCGCCTCGTTTCACATTTGAAGCTTTGTGCCAAATTCAACCAGAGGGGCAGTGTGACGGATGTTTGCTTTCCCTGTGAAGAAGTCTCAAGACTTGGTCGAATCTTGGTCGGATTTTGGTCAGCTGGAAGGCTAATGGTCTTTGGAGACTCTCGCAGTGTGGGAGATCTGAGTTTCCAGCGGATTCCAGCGGCCTTTGCGACTTAATTTTTGGTGGCTACACATGTTACACCTGATGTAAAGCGCAATTAGGCAACTTGTACATCATCATCATCCAAGAGAATTTGAACACGAGATCACTGTCACTGTTGGAGTTGGGTTTGCGAAGGGTTTGACTGGTTTTCATCAAGCATTTTGATCAGTGGGTTTGTTCATGAATTTCATGATTTTGCCTAGCACACTCACACAGACACGAGACCATTGACTAGGATCATGATAGACTTGTAGTCAAGCTCGAGCATTTGAAGCAGCTTGCGATAGACATTTCCAAGTGCTCCAATTGTTCCAGAGATTTCCAGAGATTTCCTCTGTTCATCTCTGTGAAAGCGAGTTGCGAGGCCCGACCTTACCTGCAGAACTTTTGTGTCGCGCCCAAGTGGCGAAGACGTGGCCTGGGCCGCGTTCTGCTGAAAATGGCGGAGAGGGTGCGCCTTGCGCCTCTGCAGACATGACATCTAAAGACATGTGTCAAACAGTGTCAAACAATGTCAAACATCTTTCTCATCATATTTTTATAATGTTTCTATATCTTTCTGTATCTTTCTACCAGTTTCCTGTCCACTCTCCAGCAGGAAGCGCAAGTATTCACAACATGCTCAAATAAAAATCAATATATTTGTCTTGCCTACGCTGATCTTTTACTTCAGCCTCAATGTCATCATATGTCATCATGGGTCATCAATATCCCCATAGCTCGTCTGATCTGGTGCCGCAGGTGGTGCGCGATGTTTGGCGTGAGGATAGAATCTACCTCCATGCTGGTAGCAACGAGGCAGCTGTTCAGAGCCAGTCATCAACACTTGTGGTAGTTTCAACATGTTTCAACAAGTCTCAACAAGTTTCAACAATCCACTTTGAGACAACAGTTGTGTTTGAGTCAACGAATTCTCTACCTGGGAGCTTTGGGCCGGGCGCGACTCGTTTAAACAACATAGGAATTGAGGAAGAAAGGCAGAAACGTAACGATGTGCAACATTTTTTTCAACATTGGTATCTTTGAAAGATGACATGCTTGCTTGCTTAGCTCTTCACATGTGATCCTAAGATATCGCAAAAAAATACACAACAAAATCTAAAGTGCTTTTCCCGCCGGAGGCTGCTCGCAACCTCTATCGCTCGTCCAGTTATCAGATGACAGGGCTTTTGCAGAGCCCTGAATCGTTTGGGTGCTCAGAAAAGAAGATGGTGAAGAGGAAGGCAAGGGAAGGCAAGGGAAGGCAACGGAAGGCAAGGGAAGGCAAGGGAAGGCAAGGGCAGGCAAGGGAAGGCAAGGGAAGGCAAGGGAAGGCAAGGGAAGGCAAGGGAAGGCAAGGGAAGGCAACGGAAGGCAACGGAAGGCAACGGAAGGCAAGGGAAGGCAAGGGAAGGCAAGGGAAGGCAAGGGAAGGCGAGAGAAGGCGAGGGAAGGCGAGGGAAGGCGAGGGAAGGCGAGGGAAGGCGAGGGAAGGCAAGGGAAGGCAAGGCAAGGGAAGGCAAGGGCAGGCAAGGGAAGGCAAGGGAAGGCAACGGAAGGCAAGGAAAGGCAAGGGAAGGCAACGGAAGGCAACGGAAGGCAAGGGAAGGCGAGGGAAGGCAAGGGAAGGTAAGGGAAGGCAAGGGAAGGCAACGGAAGGCAACGGAAGGCAAGGGAAGGCAAGGGAAGGCAACGGAAGGCAACGGAAGGCAAGGGAAGGCAAGGGAAGGCAAGGGAAGGCAAGGGAAGGCAAGGGAAGGCAAGGGAAGGCAAGGGAAGGCAACGGAAGGCAAGGGAAGGCAAGGGAAGGGAAGGCAAGGGAAGGCAAGGCAAGGCAAGGGAAGACAAGGGAAGGCAAGGGAAGACAAGGGAAGGCAAGGGAAGGCAAGGGAAGGCAAGGGAAGGCAAGGGAAGACAAGGGAAGGCGAGAGAAGGCGAGAGAAGGCGAGGGAAGGCGAGGGAAGGCGAGGGAAGGCGAGGGAAGGCGAGGGAAGGCAAGGGAAGGCAATGGCAAAATGATTTAAGAATACCTTGGCCCACCGCAAATTCAAAGCTATGTCTAAAATCAACCTAAATTAGACAAAATCATGGGAGGTGCTGTTACAAATAGAGTTTTCCTTCAGGAACCTACCCTCTTCTCTTGCCAAGTGGTGTTTGATTGCATTTTCCAAAGCAGTTGTTGACAAGATGTGATATTGAATGCCACGTTAATCCTAGCTAGTCTAAATGTCCCCAAGGCAGGCCTTTATTATGGTTCGATGATGTTTGATGTTCCATGATGTATCTGAAGTGTTTTCAGCAAGCAGCAAGTTGTGCGCTTTGTGAGATCTGTGAGGCTCCACATGTCCAAAGCTCTGGAGGGCGTGCCGGGTACCGAGAGAGCCACGGATGTTCTCGAAGCTTCAACTGTTTGAGACCAGAGACTCTCCAAACACTTCACCGTCATAATGTAGGTTCAACCGTTCAGCCACTGATTTATCATTCACTAGAACCCAGTTTTCGAGAGGTCTCACAGTCTCACAATCCACAAATAATCCACAATCCCAAGTTCGAAGTGCGAATTTCAGCGCGTTTGTCCAGACCTGAAACTGGTCACGCAGGAAGGTCCCACGACATGAATTTTCTCATAGATTGTCACTGCAAAGCAGAGACATGGCTGGAGCTGGCGGTAGTGACAAGTAGTGACAAGTAGTGACAAAGCTTCAGTTTGGCAGATCTTCAGTCAAGGGCTGAAATTCAATATGAAATTGACATGAACATCAGAACATCTATGAAACATGTTGCAAACAAGGGAACCATATGCATGGGGATTGCCAGAAGGTTTGATATCCCCCTCTGTCTATCTTTCAGGTTCAGAGACTTGAGAGGCCCAGTGAAAAGCTCTAGAAAAGCTGCAGTAAAACCTGGAGGATCTTGTGCAAACGTAAAGTTCCACCTAGCTTCCACTATGTTCCACTTATGTTCCAGTTCTGGTCAATTATGGGTCGTATTGTATGGACACGTATGGGGAACATGGTCTTAGCATGTCTTAGCGATAGCAACTGCCAGGCACAGCATGCCAGCGCAAGAGCGCTGGATTTAGCCCTTCGATCCATGCGATCCGTTCGATCCGTGAGTTGGATTTTGGTGAAATTGGCCGTGCTCGACAGCTGGAAATGCTGATGTGAGGAGCACTGTGAGGGGAATTGTGAGTGACTCACAGAGACCTTTTTATGTCATGAGTCATGACAGAATATCTTTGCGAGGCTGCAGCTCATCTTGCTCCCCACAGCGTCATGACCTCCGCTTCTGGCGCCACGCGTTCTGGGTGCGCCTTTTTGCTCACCAACCTAGGCAGTTGAACTGTCACAGTCACAAAATTATTGAAATTATGATAAATGATGCATGTTTTTGAGATGAATCTGACATTTGCAAAGTTAGTGTTCGACTGCGGTGCCCTGCCGTCCAGGCTCACCTTTTCGTGCGTCCGCGATGGTGCTGGTTGGAACCTCGAGGCCCAGTCCCTGAGAATGCTATGCTCACGACGGGTTGCTCACGGGGCCTTCCAGCCATGGTGGGCCACGGGTCTGATCATATCTGGTCATAGATCATAGATCTCCAGTGTTCACCACATGACCGTCATGACTTGTCACTGACATGTTGGTGCTCCAGCACGATCCACTTTATTTTTGGAATCTCGGAACGGATTTTGTCGACTTCGGGTCACAGGTAGGTGCTTTGTCAATGGCAGATGATGGCGTTTGCTGCATCGATGAGCTTCTTTGCGGCAATATGATGTGTAAAGGATGACCATTCGAAGCTGAGTCGCGGAACTTCTAACAGGAGGCCCAAAGTAAATCTGGTGAAGCCATCGCATGACGTTTCAAAGCGGGATTGGAAAGAGTAGTTTCATAACTTTACTCATGGCAAGTCACTTTCTTCAGGATTGGTTTGCTATGTTTGCAAGTGCAAGTAGGTGCAAGAGCAGCCAATAGTGGCTAGCTGACAGATCAAAAGAAAACCGTACGAAAGATTCAGCAGTGAAGGCATGAAATAAGCAACCCCCTGGCAGACGTGCGCTATTTTGCAAAGTGGTTGTTCGACTGTGTAAATACTGTTTCCAGCCCCTGGATCACGAAGCGCAATCGATGCCGCGTGGGTACGGGTGGGAAAGAACTTGCAAACTGTCGATAGATTGCTATACAAGATCCATCACTATCCGTCACAGTTTTCATCACAGTTTGCATGACTATCCATCACTGCTTAGAGACTTCATGTGCTGAGGTTTCGTCACCTCCCCAAGGAAGAGAAGACAGCTCTCTATGAGGCTTTTTGACGTTTCGTTGAGGATGCCAAGGATGATTTCAAGGTACTATATATGGGACTAGGATATATACTGTATACTACAATGGCTCTACCAGCAGGATGCTCTTGTGAGTGGCAACCGGCAATCCATTGTCACAGGATGTCACAGATACAGAATGTTGTATCCTTAAACATTTCAGCTTCCAACACGTGTCCTGTCAAGGTTTTGGACAAAGATCATTTCTCCCAATCTGAAAAGTGAAATTCTTCCGAGGAACCAATTCAATGTGAAGTTTGTCAACTTGCACATGGCTCAAACAGGACTGGCTATTGTAGTGTGTAATGTTTTTTTCTTTTCAAGCTACAGCAAGCTATAGCCCTAATTTTATCCAAGTTGCGCAAGGTCGTGGCATGGAGCAGCATGGATCTAGATGGATCATGACAAAACACAGCGCTTTCTGCTTAGAAAGTTTCACCCTGCGCCGTTGCGCTACGATATGGCCGCAAAGATGGTATGGTGAAGTGGTGGCAGGCTCGTGCCACATCGTACTACTCTATAACCTTTTGTTTGTCGCGGAAGCGCGAGTGATCATCCGATCACATTGACATCCGATGATTTCGATATATTTCGGATGTCATGTCAAAATAAAAAAATGACACATCTCCATACATCTCCGACATCTCCTGTGGGTTCGATGATGTTCGATGCGTCAGCGATGCGTCAGCGTCTCCAGTGGAGTAACGTTTTGAAGTCAGGTGGGTGGTGTCTCCAATGCAGACCTCGCCGATGCAACGGAAGTGGCCAAGGCCTTGCAGCCCTGGGAGGCCACGGACTCGAGGTGTCGATTGACCAGATGTGACCGTCCATGTGACCACTCAAATCACTCAACTGGTTCGAGACTGATGGTTTTCTGAGGGCAAAGGAGGTTCAACAACTGGAGTTTATTTGATTTCACTATATTTTAATGATCTCATGTTTATTATCACTCTCAACACTGATGACGCAACGTAAATACCGAACAAACATGTTTGCTCAGCGCCCTTCCCAGTACTACGTACTGTTTTGAAAAAGTATTCTTTCAAAAGAATCAAAAAGTGTAAAAAGCCTTGAGAACATGTCAGAACCATAAAGTGATACATGCATACATACATACATACATACATACATACATACATACATACATACATACATACATACATATATAATATGATATATATATATGAATGATGCGTTGTCTCTTTCAAAAAACTGTCTTGTTCCTGAAGATTCATGAAGGACCATGCAGCATTTCAGCGCTGTACTGTTTCCCAAAGGAGGGCACGTTCTTTTGTTTTTTGTGAAAGGAATCTTTTTTGTTTGGGCAGCTGTCCTTGCTATTTGCTGCATTTTGGAGCTAGAATCTTTGATTTGCGTGCTATTTGCTGCATTGATGTGATGCTGAAAAATAGGTGAGTCGGAACATCATCCAAAACGCCATCTCTGACCAGAGTGAATCAAAATGACTTGAAATCGTTTTTTCAAAGGGGCTCAGGCCGGGCTCGGGCTGCTCCTTGGTGTCTCCTTGGTGTCTCCAGGCAACTTGGAAGGTGTCCCAAGAGCCGTTCTTCGACTCACGTTTGATCGTTGAGACCTCTGCCCTTTTCATTGCAGCATCCTTCAGGATACGTCACTTGGACCAAATTTCAGGTCCGAATGGTCCCGAGGTCGCAGACAATCTCATGCGCATGCAACATCATGCAACTGAGCACATTTGAAATGCGGTTTTACGAAACATGATCGTGTCCGAAATACGGGGGATATTCCGGCATCCGTGTTTGGATTCAACTCAGTTTTTGGGACTCCGTGAAACTTGCGAGTTTCGATTCAGCATGTGAATGAGGTGTCAGCCAAGCTGGAGTAACTTGTCTCAACTAAACAGATTTGGATTCAGAGCTGGGCAGCCATGACTGCAAATGTTCGATCCAACAGGACCTGAGTGGTTTGTTAGATTCAGGCCTCCTCTCTTAACCTTGATGTTTCTGTTGCAATTTGATCAGTATCATGCATGACATATTTGTGGGGGAAGAGAGATGCATGTCGTAAAACCATGTAAAACCGTGCATTGGCCGTTTCTTTACATGTCCAAACAAGAACGGTTTGGGAACCAAAGACATGTGCGTGTCGTGCGAGTCGCACGTCAACCAGCCCAAGGATGAAAAGCATGAGGCAAAGTTGAAGGCAGGAGCGGAAGCATCAAACTTATGGCATCGGCGGCCCGTGTACGGTGGACTATCCACCATTTGTCACGTGTTCAACGCTTCAAAGTCCAAAGTTGGCCAAACCACGATTTGTTTGCCATGTTTGCCGCTTAGGGAACACAGAAAGCATGAAAGGGGGAACTTTGTAACTTGCTTCCAAGAGAGACTGAGTGGTCCAGGGGAGTAGCGATTTCGACCAACTGCTTGGCCGTGCACCTTGCTTGAGATTCAGTGCCACCAAACTCGCGGAAAAAATTCAAAAAATCCAGAATAGTAAGATATGGTAAGATGAAGTAGTTTTGCCGCTTTGGAATCCGCTTCCTACTGTGTCACCCGATTAGACTGTTTGGCGAAGAAATGCATAGTTTACCCTTGTCATGATTTCCAACATAGCGTTTTTGAGGAAACCTGAAACAAAAACAAGTTCATGTCACGAAGCAGAAAATGCTCTGCAGATATGACCTTTTTGTCCTGGCCAAGGGCAGCCCTAGCCCAGCTGTGCATACCTCAGGAAGTTGGAAACTCAGAAAGCTTTCTTTGATGGCACATGATGGCACATGATGGCACATGATGGCACATGATGGCACTTTGCCAAGATGCAAAACTCATCAAGCGATTCATCAACCTATTCCTAGGAAATACTGGAAGTGCCGTGGAATTACCTGGATAAGTAGCATGTTGTTGAAGTAGCAGAAGTAGCAGTTCCTTCACCCTCAAAACATTGAAAAAATCAGGACAGGTGTAACCAAAAGTCCGCGACCGGATGTTTAATGTTTGAGATGCTTCAGTACTGACGTTGAAATGTTTGGCATGCTGCATATCACGAGAATCCCGTCAGGTCAGTTCAAACTCCGTCATGCAGCCTGCTGCCACTCAGCAAGAGAAGTTGAGCAGTCGTGTCTTCCCAAAGTAAAGTTATAGCCTGACATGTATAATAGAAACACATTCGAAACATTTGTCACTTGTCTTTCAAACAAGTTTCACTCGCACAGAAAGGAGATGAAGAGGTCAGAAACTCTGCCAGACACTTCGCGCCCAGCAGCTACTCATACATTTTTTCATTTTTTAAATGTATCTCATTTTCTGAGATTCTCTTGGCATTGTCATCGTCTGGAATCATTTTTGTTACAAGTGTAGCAACGGAAGTGTGTAGACAGTGTGACAACATGTGACAACTGTAACAACTGTGCTGAGGCCATGCTCATCACTTCATGGGCTTTGACCGTTTGGCCACTGAGCTGGTACCATGCTGTCGTCCTCTGAGAGATCAGCTCAAGTACCTCGTTCGAGATTAGAACGCATCCTGAAAGCATTCCGAAAGCATCGAAAACTGTGGGACGTTGCAACGTGTTGCAACGCACGAAACTGTTTGATGCTGGATTCAGTGTGGCAGGAAGGGATGCCGTGTGAGACCCGAAGGGCTTTCATAATCTTTCATATGTGTCCGCAAAATGTCCGCAATGTGTCCAAGATGCTTTTCCTAAGACTCTGAGCTTGCATTGAGGCAGACTCTCCAGTCACTGTGTGTACAGCGCGGTAAGAAGAAGGCTGAACTCGAAGAATTACTGGACTCAGAGGCTCCAATCTCTGTGAAGTTCGTTGATTTCTCTCCGTGTCTGTCTGTTTCTTTCCTTTTCTTTTAGTTGCCATTGTTTTGGTAAACTATCTTGATCCTGTTTTCAAGACTTTCAAAGTGCTGAGGTACATATGTAACGCCGGGTACATCCTCTTTCACCTCTACTTGTTTCATCTTGTGTTCAAAATCTGCTGGACTCTAACTATACATAACTATACCAATATAGTATAAATATGTATAAACTAAACTAAACTGTGAAACTCGATTTACATTGATCCAAAACAGGATGAATCCGGTACTGAACCAGGTGGACCGCTTCCTGCGTTCCCGGCTGGTGGTGTGTCGCCTCACGGATTCTCGGAGAGGGTTACACCGAAGCCGTTGAGCCTCGTTGAGCCGTGTCGCAGCACATTCTTTTGTGATGTCGACATATGTCAAGATGACACAGCAATAGACACACTGTGTGCCTCTGAGAATTGCCCAGGATGTGATGACTCCTGATATCATTGCCAAGTATGATTCAGAGTCGGAGTCAGAGGCCCTGATGACAGAATTCTCTGTAGTACAAGCTGTGACACCGTATGACACCGTATGACACCGTATGACACCGTATGACACCGTATGACACCGTATGACACCGTATGACACCGTATGACACCGTATGACACCGTATGACACCGTATGACACCGTATGACACCGTATGACACCGTATGATACCGTATGACACCGTATGACACCGTGAAACTGCACAAATTGACAGCTGTTGAGTCCTGCGCAGGACGATGAGCATGGTGGCCTGGAAGGTCATGGCATTTTCAACGTGACGGCTGTGTCCAAAGGCTGCGGGCACTGCTAATCACAATCATTACACAGTCACTAATGTAATCACTAACATAGTCACCATGCACTCTGCGATATTCTGCGGAGAATGATCTTCCAGTTTCCATCGCTTGACCGATTGTTGGCACGGATGTGAGAGTTTGAACAGAGTTGGCAGATGTTGGCAGTCAAGGTTCAATCCGGTGATTGATGCACATTTGCTCATCCAAAAAGCGATTCTTTCCTGCACCTTCATCTGATTTGAATCTCCCGAAGGATTTGCATGGAATTCACATGGAAGATGCGTCGATCAGTGCCGCATCCCTTGGATATTTGTTGGATCGCAGGTCGACCACCGTGGAAGGACGCGTTGTTTGGTGACGTGGGTGGTCGGCGCGGACCTCCTCCAGTGCATCCACTGGGAGCACAGGTGAATTTGAGCAAGACACTTGGCACAACTTGGCCCAACTTGGAAAGTAGACATCGGACGACATCTGTAAACGCATTTGCATTGCATTTGCCATTATCAGATTAATATGATACAATGAGTTATATTTAATTCATATAATGATATATACATATATATATATATATATCATATTCAACCTAGAGATGAAGGATCAGGTGCCAGTGCTGTAAGGCAGAGCCTTGAATAATTTCACCAACCAAAGTGCTCGGCATTGAATTGTTCACAACAGCTGTGAAGGTGACTTTTAATCGAAAGATCGTTTGATCTGATCCTTAGTTTGCGGACAGCTTGGACAGCCTCCAAAAATGGCTTCTGACGACGTCCTGCTGCAACAGTCTCAGGAATCAATTGGCCAACAAGCTTCAGCAGATGCGTTGGGATCTCAGGGAAATTAAGAGCATGTCAGAGCAGTTTAAATATGTTTAAATGTAAACCAAAAAAACATGCGAAGGCTCAAATAGAGCTAGTTGAAAGATGCCTCTTTACCCTGCACATCAAATGAAGCGCGATGTTTCATTATTGTTCTATGTCCAGACCCGTGTCATATGCCATATGATTATTCTTTTTCAATGATACATTGATTGAATATTGTCAAATCATAGGTGTGGAATTTGATTGAATATTATCTCTGATTACATACCTTCTTAATTTGTGTAATTGTATGATATTGTTGTGGCCATTCTGTGTGTATTTGAAAAAGCTTTTAGATCTTTTGAGTGTGATTTGTCTTGTGAGGTCATCACGCTTTGGCGGGTCACCTGACGACCTCCCTGGGTGGCGTGGCAGGTGGTGTTGCCGAGGCTGCCCGGCAGACGACACGAATGGAGCGCAGGCAACGAGCCAAGGAGAAGGTGCGACACACGACATGGACCATCTCTGAGATGCTTCACATTTGGAGAATATGTAAAAAATGCAAAACATATTAAAAGATATGTTTTTCTTACACCGGCTCATGTTGTACATTGTAATGGCTTGAAATCCATTTTAGCCTCTTTGACATAATGTATTTCAATATATTTCAATGAGAAATTATAGGCTCAGCACACGCAAGACTTCTTAGAGCCACATGAAGGCCACACCCGGTTGCAATGAGGTTTTGTCTCTTCAGAAAACAAGTTAGGTGTTGAACCGGTTGATATCGGTTGATCTCGGTTGATGAACTTGGTGTGTTTTGAATTTTTGGTTGACAAGTTGAGCAGTTCGGTTACGTTCAGGGTATGCGCCTCTTCGAGCATCGCTTCTTCCGGGCATTCACAGTGGGCCTCGGCCAATCTCTCTTCGGTGCCGAAACCGCAAAATGATGTTCAGGAAGGTCAGAGAAATGATGGAAAAAAATTAAGAAACTCACAGTATTGGTCAAGTATGAACTGAACTTGCAGAAAGTGGCAAACATACACGCAACTTGTGCAAAGCAATGCGATCAGTACATGTGCACCATGTGGAGTGAAATTGATTTAACAGACTAAGAAAAAGTGACTAACTCCCAGTGATGCCACCCAAATACCACATCACCATCCATCACTCCTCCCCTCTCTTCATGCTTGTAAGGCGATCGCGAGGATTTGGTTTTCCGGTTTGAGGTGGCAGCCATGAATGTTCTGCAGACCTATCAGGCTAACGGGCTGCCCGGCCTGTGGAAACAGTAGAAGCATGTAGAAACATGTTGAAACATGTTGAAACCAGAGAGTTTATCGTTCTCTGATGTTCTCTGCTATGTCTACCGTTCTCTGCTGCTGCCCTGTTTTCGGCAAAGTGTCACCGTTCAGGGCGAGCTATCACTGGCTTTGCATTCACTGATGGGATGGTTGCCAGTCCCTTGGCAAAGGTAGAGTCAGATTGTAAATCTCTGGCCTTCACAAGTCGGATGTCGGATTGTATCGATGGTTAAGGCGGTTAAGGTTCAGTGGTGACTGGTTCATGACATGACAGCATTCCAAGATATTCCAAGGGGTTTTCCCAATCTATTTGTTTCCAAACTTCGAAGGCACATGTGTCTAAGAGCCTCTTCTTGGTGATCTCCGGGCTTCCGGCGATGGTTGCGGCTAAACAGGGACCCGAGAAGTTTGGCATGTTGCTGAAGTGCCCGGAAGCCCAGGGACGAACTTGTGCAACTTGTGGAGATGTTTCGACATGGTTCGACACGGTTCAACCAAACAAGGCTGTGTATTTGCATGTGTTTGCTGTTAGAGGCTGCACACTTGATGGCGTTTCTCAAGCCCCAAGTTGCAGAGAACCTCCAGTGTGGTGAGGCAGCAAGACCCGCTAACACTAGAAGTCTGCACGCAACTTCACCATTGTCTAGAGTCGACCAAGGTGTGAATTGCATCGCCAGTGGCAGTGGTCGTGACAGAGTTGCAATCAAAACAGCCGGATATTCATGGCATGCCGCTTATGCTGCTTTCCAACTGTTTCCAACTGTTTCCACCGTTTGCTATTTTCAGGACGTTTCAGGACTGTCTTTCTTGTGGTGTAGGTGATTAGCTTCTCAATGCCACGAAACCAGTCAACTGCTCCACTTGGTTGATCTTTTGAGAGGTCTGTGCTTGAGGGTAGAAAGGAGGTTTAGAAAGGGGAAGTGTAAAAGTGTATAAATTATGTGTGCAAGAGAAATTATGAAGCTTTTCAGGTTGTACTCTGCAGACACGCCCAGGGTATGTTTTCGTGAGCACTCCCAGTTGGTATTTGCCTCTCTCTGCGCGGATTGCTGGACTTGGACGCTTGCATGAGATCCGCGAAGCCTCTCTGGCAATGCGCAACTTGTCTAAAAGGGACATGCATGTCATAACGAGTCATAACGACGGTTACCGTATGTTCCAAGACATACATGGGTCAGTGCTGACACTGGACTTGCTAAGACATTGAAAACAGCAGAGACTGGCTCGTCTCCCTGTTTGATAGAGGAAACAACAGTTCAGCAGTCCTCTATAGATATTCAAGACTTATCTGAACATAATGTTCCATGATACCCAAGAGTCGGTTGCATTGCCTGACTCAAATGAAGGGTCTCGAACAACTTACCCACAAGTTGTTCACAAGTGTTTGAGGTGGTCGACCAATCACCAGCGTGCAGTCTGTGTGGCCAAGCCCCTGTGAGCCACAGGAGAGGGAGTCGGAATCTGTCTGAGCCAAGCTCAACAGTTTGGAACAACTCATGCATCATTTAGAGAACTTCAACCAGCATGGCTCAGAATGACTCAGCATGACTCAGCATGACTTGGCATGACTCAGCATAGCATGACTCAGAATGACTCAGCATGACTTGGCATGACTCAGCATGAGTCCTCTGAATACATGCTGATCAAAGTGACATGCAGCTGTGGGTGGGATGATTCAGATTTTCTCTCAGTACTGACTCTAACACCTCTTGCAACTCGTTCCTCAGGCCGTTTTCCTCTCTGGATCCTGGTTCAACGTTTTGCAAAGCAATTGGTCAAAGTTTCACATGCCGTGCCAGGAGGTGATTGCCGCTGTGGAAGCCATTTGGGGCGGCCGCATTGCCGGTGTCCGTGCTGCACTGGGTCTCTGCGGTGGTGTGGAGGCTGGACCACCGCTGAGACACTGCACACTGCAACACACTGCAACACGCTGCAACACGCTGCAGCACGCTGCAGCACGCTGCAATAAAAATTCGGAACATATTCATTGTTGCATATAATTGCAGTGTATTGCAGTATTGCATGACATACCGTAGATGGACGATGAAATGAAACCGTGAAACCCCTGCTGTATTGTCGTCGCCCCTGCAACCCCAAATTTCAATGTTGCCTTTGGGCTGCGCGTTTGGGGCCGGTGGACAAAAATCAAACCCTAACGCAGAGGAAACTATATAGAGCTTTGTGCAACATTGAAATTTGGGGCCTGGGGGTTTACTTGGTAGGCGTCTGTAGAGTTTGATCTTTTTGTCCATCTACTGTAGCATAGACGTTGCATAAACATAGAATCATAGACATTGCTAGCTTGGACCTGTGCTCATGTGATATGTCCGATAATTAGTTTTTCGAAAACATGCAAGATACTTTTTCCACTCTGTCTCATCTGACAAGACCCTGGCCTTTTGTGAAGTGCTCTATTTTTGCAGCGTCGAAAGGATTACCGCACATGTTTTCAGGTTGCTTTCTATATGACCAGAATTGACCAGATATCCAGATGCTTTCTACATAGAATGCATGATATGTTGAGGCCAGAGAAGCAGAACGGATGTGTTGAGGCCATGGGTGAATGGGTGCTGCGGATGACGATGGGCTGCCATGGTTTGTTGCTTCGAGCCCTGGAGGTGGGACAGCGGTGCCGTTCTATCGCTTGGGTCTGTGATTTCTTGTGAATTCTGTTCATACGTAATTCTGTTCATATTAATGTATATACACGTAGTTTATGTATAATATAATATTATATATATATATGTGTGTGATATATACATATACGTGTGAACCATCTGCAGAGATGTAAAACTTCAAACGATGTGATTTTCTGATTTGCCTAGATCTTGTCATTATGATTTGCACGGGGCAGTGGCCCACTCATGAGTCCACTGCCAATGAAGCTACTCATGAGTTGGGAGGATATCGGGACTGATCATCCCGGCGTACCTGCAAAGATCTTACTTTCTGGACATGGGACGTGGCCAACCGAAGAACCACCTCGCCGAACAGTTTGCAATTTTACTTCATTGACTTTTTCATGTACAATATTACTTCATTTTTACTTCATTATATAAACACGTAGTTTATATAACATAGACCCGGGCAAGCCGGCGGCGGAAGTTTCCCAAACATAAATGACCTATAGTTCGACGCCAGCCTGTCCCGACCGTGTCCTTCCCTCGACAAGCGGCTTTTTTTTTCAGCGAGAGACGAAGCAAAGTCTTCACACTCCACACTTCGCACTCCACACTTCACACTGCACTCTTCGCACTCGAAACTTCACACTTCACACTCCACACTTCACACTCCACACTTCACACTTCACAGTTCACACTTCTCACTTCCCACTGCTTCCTTCTCACTTCGCACTTCACACTCCACACTTCACAGTCCACACTTCACAGTCCACACTTCACAGTCCACACTTCACACTCCACACTTCACACTTCTCACTGCTTCCTTCACACTCCAAACTTCACACTTCACACTGCACACTTCTCACTTCGCACTTCACACTTCACAGTCCACACTTCACACTTCTCACTGCTTCCTTCACACTCCAAACTTCACACTTCTCACTTCGCACTTCACACTCCACACTTCACAGTCCACACTTCACACTTCTCACTTCTCACTGCTGCCTTCACACTCCAAACCTCACACTTCACACTTCACACTCACTCTTCGCCCTCCAAACTTAAACTTCACACTCCACACTTCACACTTCTCACTTCCCACTGCTTCCTTCACACTGTACACTTCACACTGCACTCTTCACACTCCACACTTCACACTGCACTCTTTGCACTCCAAACTTCACACTCCACACTTCACAGTCCACACTTCTCACTTCTCACTGCTTCCTTCACACTCCAAACTTCACACTTCACACTTCACACTTCACACTTCACACTGCACTCTTCACGCCCCACACTTCACACTGCACTCTTCACACTCCACAGTTTTCATCTCATCTGAGCTCTTCTCACCTTATCCCAGCTCATCTCTTCTCATCTCGTCCCTTCTCATATGTCATCTATTAAGCTTTCATTAATCAATTCCCAGCACTACTACTAATCACTGTCGCAGCCTTCATGCAGCCACTCCAATACGATTTACGAAGTCCAGCTGCAAAAGACAATACTATTACGAATGCAGCCACAGCACGAAGCAACCTTGACGCAGCCATTACAATGCGATCTGCAGAGACTCAGTTGCAAAACGCAATAGACCTACGCGCAACGGCGTCGGAAATTGTAGCTCCAAAACCGGATCTCGACGCCAGAGCGAAAAAAAGACGATTTTGAAGCACTTTTTAAAAGGATTTTTTAAAAGAAAATCGCTGGCGCCAAAATGGAGAAAATCTGCTGACAAATCACTGTCGCAGCTTTCATGCAGCCACTCCAATAGGATTTACGAAGTCCAGCTGCAAAAGACAATAGTATTACGCATGCAGCCAAAAGAGGAAGCAACACTTGCAATCCCATTTACACTGCGGGAACGATCCTACAGTTGCAAAGCACAATGGAATTCCATCGGCAACTCCTCCACCAGCACCACTTGCAATCCCATTTACAGTGAGGGAACGATCCTAGAGGTGCAAATCACAATGGAATTCCATCGGCAACTCATCCACCAGCACCACTTGCAACCCCATTTACAATGCGGGAACGATCCTACAGTTGCAAATCACAATGGAATTCTGTCGACCGCGCATGCACGAAAAACACTTGAAACCCCATTTACAATGCGGAACCGATCCGAGCATGATCCGACCATGATCCGAGACCGATCCGACCATGATCCGACCACACACGAGACCGTCTCGCACCCGTCGCACCGCAGAGGTAGATCATCGAGGTTCGGGGACGGACTTTGTATGGAAAAACACAGGCTTTCGTGCATCTGCTATCTCTCAAAAACGCATTTCGTGCGAGACTTCCTTCAAAACTCCATCGGCAACTCCTCCACCAGCACCACTTGCAATCCCATTTACAGTGAGGGAACGATCCTAGAATTGCAAATCACAATGGAATTCCATTGGCAACTCATCCACCAGCACCACTTGCAATCCCATTTACATTGCGGGGACGATCCTACAGTTGCAAATCACAATGGAATTCTGTCGACCGCAAATGCACGAAACACAGGTGAAACCCCATTTACAATGCGGAACCGATCCGACCATGATCTGAGACCGATCCGACCATGATCCGACCATGATCCGACCACACACGAGACCGTCTCGCACCCGTCGCACCGCAGAGGTAGATCATCGAGGTTCGGGGACGGACTTTGTATGGAAAAACATAGGGTTTCGTGCATCTGCTATCTCTCAAAAACGCATTTCGTGCGAGACTTCCTTCAAAACTCCATCGACAACTCATCCACCAGCACCGCTTGCAATCCGTTTGCATTGAGGGAACGATCCTACAGTTGCCAATCACAATGGAATTCCATCAGCAACTCATGCATCCACCAGCACCACTTGCAATCCCATTTACATTGCGGGAACGATCCTACAGTTGCAAATCACAATGGAATTCTGTCGACCGCACGTGCACGAAAAACACTTGAAACCCCATTTACAATGCGGAACCGATCCGACCATGATCCGACCATGATCCGAGCATGATCCGACCACACACGAGACCGTCTCGCAACCGTCGCACCGCAGAGGTAGATCATCGAGGTTCGGGGACGGACTTTGTATGGAAAAACATAGGCTTTCGTGCATCTGCTATCTCTCAAAAACGCATTTCGTGCGAGACTTCCTCCAAAACTCCATCGGCAACTCCTCCACCAGCACCACTTGCAACCCCATTTACAGTGAGGGAACAGTTTCTTTGCTAACTCTTTCCCTCACTAACTCTTTCTTTGACTAACTCTTTCTCTGACTAACTGTTTCTTTGCTAACTCTTTCTTTGGCTAACTCTTTCCCTCACTAACTCTTTCTTTGACTAACTCTTTCCCTGACTAACTCTTTCTTTGACTAAAACTCTTTCCCTGACTAACTGTTTCTTTGCTAACTCTTTCTTTGACTAACTCTTTCCCTCACTATCTCTTTCTTTGACTAACTCTTTCCCTGACTAACTCTTTCTTTGACTAACTCTTTCCCTGACTAACTGTTTCTTTGCTAACTCTTTCTTTGACTAACTCTTTCCCTGACGAACTCTTTCTTTGCTAACTCTTTCCCTGACTAACTCTTTCCCTCACTAACTCTTTCTTTGACTAACTCTTTCCCTGACGAACTCTTTCTTTGCTAACTCTTTCTTTGACTAACTCTTTCCCTGACATTCTAAAAGTCCGTAACACGGAAGTTTCTCCCCCTAAACTTCCTTTGACCATATTTCACAATGTTACAACATACAACATGAGCTGTTGTGGCTGTCATCGTCCTTCTTCAACACCCGCATGAGAATATGCAGCCCTGGGATGGTTGATCGAGCATTGCTACAGTTCATGAAGCGTGAGCCGCTGCCGCCGGCCAGGCCGCTCAGGAAGCCCAGCAAGAAAAGCACCTGGATCGCAGTGGATTTTGCTGTCGAGGCTGTCGACCAAACTTTCCACTTTGGGCATATTGTTCGATATGTTTCAACAAAATACATCAAAATACAAGAAGTAAAATGAAGGAAGTGGAAGTGAAAACACACCTATGCCATCCTATGCCATCCTATGATCCACTTTGCAAGCCGAGACGCATAAAACTTTAACGTCTCCTCACCTCAGAAGAATGGGGACCCTTTGCGCTCCTAGCTCCTATATGATCTATATGGAAACCTCTGTCATTTGATGGTGAAGTCATGCTGCAATCCTGCTAGGGGTCCATTCACGTCTCAAGAATAATCTTTTTGCAATGGATAGACTGACTGAGTAATTAAACAAAATCCACTGTTCGTTGGTGTTGGTAGTGCGAAGGGGCACACAATCAGACAGACAGCTTGAGCTCTGCTTTAATCTTTTTCAAAGGGACCGAATGTGAATGAAACGTCTTTTGATGGTCGCAGGGTGTTTA